CTGCGTTTAGCACCACACTAACACTTCTTTAATATCACTATACTTTAACCCTCCCCCATTTAGCATTCATGAGCAGTACATGGACTTTTAATACATGGCTTGGTTTAATTAAGTTGTAAAGAGATCTAAGGACATTTTATGGGATTATCAGTGTACGTTATTTGTCAATATTGGTAATCTCTCCTAAGAAGAACAATCGAGCGGTAATGCGAGGTGTTTCTCTATTTTGTGGAAATGGCAGTTTCAAATAAAATCCTCTTTTAATCGTCAAACACATGCAACAGCTCTGCACACACATTGAAATATAGGCTCTGACTTTCCAGGTATTGGAAGTTTAATTAACAGATAATGTACTTTGTAATGTATTTGATTATCTGTTTATACATCAGCCTCCACTAATGGATTCAGTATAGTTGTAGACCGTACATTAATAAATAATATCTGCTTACAACTACATTAATATTATATTTTTAAAAGGCTTATTTACTACTTAAACATGCATGATCTGCAATTGGCAATACCTTTTTTATTATTATTCTGCCTTACTTCATAATTGGACATTGACACGTGGAGGTTCACCAAAACAGTTCAACGGCCATATATAGTTTTAAATTCGGCCACTTCCCTTCCTGGACCGCTCGGAAAAAACAATGGCCCCGCCCACTGATACTTCCCTCAGCCAATCAGATTTTATTCCATCTTCCATTGGATTTGTACGGCAAAAACTCCTGAAGAAGGAATGCACCTATATCTCCAATCACAGACGACACACATACAGTATCACGTTTAAATACACACACAGACACACAGACACAAACACATAAACACACACACACATATACATCCACCCAACACATAAAACCAGATGTCTTCCTCCTCGTGTATAATGTGAAAAGCGGTTGCTGCCCAGCCAGGGGTATCCATGGCAACAGGCCCGTGGTTGGTTGACGGGGCGGGACAGTGACATCACTGCTCTCTTTCAGGATCGCCACAGAGATAGTAACACCGCTCGACACAGAAGTATAAAGAGAGGAGGGCGAGCAGGAAATCAGGAGGAAGGACGTACAGTGTGAGGTCATCACACACACACACACACACACACACACACACACACACACACACACACACACACACACACACACACACACACACACACACACACACACACACACACACACACACACACACACAGTAAAGCCATAGGGTATGCATATTTTTATTTACTTCCCTTTTCATACAGTACAGTATTTAATTATTTAAACACTTGTTACTGTAACTGCATGCTCCAAAAGGGCCCGTAATTAATGAGGAATAAAGCCTGAAGAGGCATTAAAAAGACCTCTGATGCTAATACTGTGTTGCCCTTTCAGAAAATCTCCTTTATAATAGAGTTTGATCACATAAGACAGGTCAAACAATCCACCCATCGTGTTACTTCCAGGCATTCTCTGCTCACTCTCTGGTCATGTTTGAGGTTTGAACACTTGAGGGTGCCAGACACAAATAAGACCAATAAGACAGGCTTGTTGACACATTCAAAGACAGTCAAATATCCCTGTATGAATTCCATTGTGAGGCTTTATTGAGAGGTTTTGATCCAAAATAATATTTGTTGCGGTTGCGGTTTGCCCTGATGTTTTAGTAGAATGTGTATTTTGTGGATGTTTAAATATTTAACCTTTGTATCTTACTTTCATATCCACTTCCTACATACCCTTTCTAACTTCTGTCTTGCCAACCAACTTTTTTTTTTCTTCCACTGGATAAACTCATTAGGCTACAAAGACAGTAGACCTTTCAGAAGTATAACAGTGATTGGAATGGGTTTTCAGCTGTGACTTAGATTAGACCAAAAAGGTATTTAGTTGTTCTAGGGTTATGAGTCATTAACAAGGATTTATGAAGGATAGATGCTGACATGTCTTTGATTTGTTAACGTGCTCCTCATAAAACAGCTCCTGGAGTGATGTAATAGGATGAGGAAACCTGCGTCCTCCTCCGGTCACAAATCTTCTTTCTTGCCCATTTTGACATGACCTCATGCAGCTTACAGGAAGCACAAGTAAAATCAATTTCCTGCCAGAAAGGGAAAAAAGGAAATGTGATAGGGAGGAACAGGGTCACACGGTCTACGTTTATTTATCTTAATGGAGTTAGAACAGAATGTGCTCCTCCGACTTCTTACAGTTCTGAGTTCAGTAACCGACAGTTCGCAGAGTTGGTTGCTATAGTGACAAAAAGTGTGTTTAACAAGACACTTTTAACATTGACTTGTGTCACATAACACAATTATCACAATAAGTAAAGTAAGAAAAGTCACATTTTCAAATGTGTATATCTACAGCTTAATATTTTGTAAATCTAATCATACATAAATTGTTTTTATCTTCCACAAATTTCTTTCCCACATCCTCTCAGCATGTCCTGCACTAAAAAGTGGGCTACACCTTGTACTAAAAAAACAAAACCAAACATTCTGTTTGATCAGGGCCCAAAGTCTTACGACCCTCTGGACTTCGCATAAACATTTTGAAAAGGGGCAAAACAACCACAAAGAGACTTAAAATGACTAAAAACAGACACAGAATGGCTACAAAGAGACACAAAACCACCTCAAAGACACGTAAAATCACTAAAAAGAGACACAAAATGACTAAAAAGAGACACAAAACCACCTCAAAGAAACTTAAAATGACTAAAAAGAGACACAAAACAACTTCAAAGAAACGTAAAGTTACTAAAAAGAGACACAAAACAACTTCAAAGAAATGTAAAATTACTAAAAAAAAGACACAAAATGATTTTTCTTTTTAAAACACCGAGCAACCACAGACAAAGAAAAACACCAAAAATATGAAAAACTCTTAAAATGACTACAGAGTTTCACAATGAGACACAACAACTACAGAGGGACAGAAAAGGGCCTCAATGAAGTGAGACCAAACCGCATAGCATTGCTTGGGGACTACATAGAGACACACAATCATTGAAAGATGCGTAACCACAAAAAATATAACAAAAAGAGGCCTAACAACTGTCTATTTTGTGTGTCTTGATCCTAAATAAGATACAGGTGGTGGGGCCTCTCGCATGTCTATGCCCAGTGGCCAATTGTCTTATGATCTCTCCATGCATTTGATACATTCAAAAGTTCAGCAGCACAAAAAAATAGCAGAGATTACCCTTGCTGCGAAAATACTTAAGGTTGCAGAAATGCACTGGCGTATATTCAAATAATAATACACTTCTTCTACCTTGATCTCTCTAATATACACCTCTCACTCTCTTTTGTCTTGTCTTCCTTCTTTTCTTGCTTCTTTCACATGTTGGCCAATATGGGATACATCAAGGCAAGGCAGATTGAGCGTCCTTGAATAGCTTTGTCATGCATTCACTTGAGGTTATTTTGCACACATATAAATACATTTCAAGTGGTCTAATGACCTGAACTGATAACACATTGTGGTGCAGTCCTTGCAGTCTTTCCAAGGTTGGGTTATTGTTTCTTGTTGAATTTTGCATGTGCAGTCCAGAATGACTATTAATAACCACTGTCTGAGACCTTAAAAAAAACAAAATACTTGACTAGTATGAGTGCTGACAGATACAGCACAGGTACCAAGTTACTATCACATACTTGATGGCTACTAAAATATACTACGCATATGACCAACATTTAAATGATTGAGGTACTAAGTTGCTATCAAGTTCCAATCTAACGGGACCCTGATATATATATACACTCTGATAAAATGCTTTTTCTCTTCTGAATAGACAGTGTTTTTTTTAAATGGCTTACATGCATGTTGCTATATTTGTTATAATCCTGGCATAGCTTGCCAAGTCTTGAATTGTCTCATTTCTAGTAATACTGAACGACCCCGAACTATGCTGATTATTTTCATCCAGACAATGGTTTGAGAGCAGGCTGATTTTATGATAAGAAAGCAACATGCTTATTAAGATTTTTAATGTTAACGGGTTTCACATTGAGAGTAGAGCATGATAACATTCAGCAGGGACGAATTATCAAAAGGTTATTAAGTACTGCGACTTCTTCAGTGTGCATGCTCTGTCTCTGTTTTATACCGTACGAAGATACCTGAGTGAAAGGTTAAATTGTATCAATGTAATATACCATTAATCTAAGGTTTCTGGGGGTCCAAAAGAAGAAGGTATTTGCCTTGAAAAGGAGTATTTCTAGGACCACACCACTGTTTTCAGCCAGCTGTTTAACATCCAAACATCACACATTCGTAGTTAAGTGTTGATGCGTTTGTAAAAAATGTTTGTTAAAGCTTAGAAATTAGAGCCAAAAAAACAAGGTTTTCTAACAAACGTTAAAGACACAATCTTGGATTATTTTTTCTTTATTTAAAAAAAACCTCCTGTTTACAATTGGTGTTTTGAAAACTTGTTGAACTGCTTACTCAAACAGTCCTGTAAGAACAAACTTTACCAGTGCTTATTCACGGCCACTGATGCTGATATGAGCCATATTGAATCTGGAGTACGTTGGGAAGTCCGACTTTTTGCCGCATTGTTATGAACCGTTAATATCTCTTTTACACGCATAGGCTCACACACACTGACGCACAAATTCCTCTGGTCCCACAGGAGTGTATATTGAAGTATTGTGAGTGCTGGCAGTGAGTGAGGAAGCGACCCTGGTCCTCCTCCCAGACTGCTTCCTAGTATTGTTGCTACATCCATCTCTTAAAATTCCATGTGAGCATGCATGCATGTGTGTGTGCATAGGCGTAGTTGAGGTTCATTTTGCGGGGATATGTGACTTAGAAAAAATCGGTTGTATGGACATTCCCTGGAGAAAATGTGCAGTCTGCTTGAAAACACTTAATCCGGATTTAGGTAATAAGAAAAGACACATATTGATATGAACCACTCACTCAATCAGGATACACTGAATAACTAGACCGCATTAATAACTGTTGTCGTCATATATATAACTTTAATCCTCCTATATTTTTGTGTTTTTGCAGGCTGGAATCTGAAATCGGTACACTGGAGAGCGAAGAGTCACAGATCTCCGCCAAAGAGCAGGTTCTACGACAACGTCTGAAAGAGACGGAGCGCTCCATAGAAGACCTGCAGAAGGTATGACAACATGAACTGTCCCGAAACTTCAATGAGCTTCTGGGGATGCATTAACTACCGGTAGTCGGTTCTGACATCAAAGTTGTGTAACATCTCGTCCAATTATTGCGATCTGTTACTAGTTTAATTACACCATAATTGCAGTGGAGGTTTTTGACGCTCATTAAAAGCGTTTTTGTGAGAGCAAATGAAAAAACATGAAGTCTTGTAAAGACTCTGCTGCTAATTAAAAACACCAGTGTGCTAGGTAGTACACATGAGAAGAATGAATGAACTCTGTGTTTACAAAACAGAGCAGAACATCTTTAATTATATTATAAAGAAAACCTTGAAAGTGAACTTGGACTCATGTTGCTGCAAATACTGAATGTTGCAGCACTGTTGTCATTACCATTTTCTTTTAGAACACAACTCATTATTTAAAAGAGTTATCACAGGATATTTGATGTAATCAAGCAGTTTTATTAAAATCACAGAACAAAAAATTGAGAAGAAAAGACAGAGATTACGAAAATATAGAAATTGAATTGTTGGTTCATTTTAGTTACTAGGGTTAGGGTTAGCAGATTGGAGATTCTACTCCTGGTAGGCAGCGGGCATTTGTAAACTTACAAAAACTAAAAACCAATAAAAGCAACGTTTTTTTACTTGACTCAGTTAAAATACTATAATTATTCAATAATCAGCCTTGTGAGCGCAGGCATATGCCGTTCATCTCAAAATGGTATTAACTTGTCTACCATTCATTTTCATTAAATAAAGCCTTTAATACCAACATTTTAAAAAACTCTCTGATGACTCACATTGGTTTTCTCCTTTCTGTCTTTCAGAGTCTGATGGCACAGGGTGGAGGTATTACACACACACAAAAGACACACACAAACACACACACACAAAAGACACACACAAACACACACACACACACACACACACACACACACACACACACACACACACACACACACACACACACACACACACAGACGCTCACACAAATTGAGTCAAATTTCATAATGACACACACTTAACCAGGGAAACAAAAACTTTATATTGGACATTATGGGTTGGATCCATATATGATTAGAATGTGTGTTATCTGCAGGTAAGGTATAACTTTTAAACAGGACTACAATTCAGATTTGTATTAAATAGGTTATTATTAATAAGCATTAGTTCTAATCTCTGTAACAGTACTCATATATTTTTTTGTTTGTATAGTTATATATAGCTATACAGAGTTAAAAATGTATTACTTTAGTTGTGGACTTTACATAATTTCTACTCCATTATATAGATATAATTATTATGTCTTTATTTGTTTAGAATTTAACCAAACAAGGTGTTAAGTACTTTGGAAAAATACATTAGAACAAATAAAAAATCGAAACAACCGTAGGAAATATACTTACAATGATAAGAGCTAATTATAGTGTTAAGAAAGCCAAAACAGTACAAAATATATATTTTTAAGTATTAAAAATAACAACAGAGAGGTTACCAATCAGTCATGTTATGATAGTCAACGGTTCATTATCCTACATGTGTGTTTCATTGTGTTTGGGGCTGCTGACTTTGCAATGAGCTCGGCTTTCAGGGCAGCGTAATGAAGTTAGACACTTGTTTATGATTGCAGTAAGATAGACAAGAGGGTAAGAACAAAGTAACCTGATGTATGATTATTATTATTTTAATATACCTTTATTATCACTACATGAAGTGTCGTTTGTCAAAAGTGACCATGTGAGGACTAAAGCTCAAGTACTTTTCTTGTAATTTCCTACATTTTTAGCCGTCTTTATAGAAGGCAATTACCATATTCTAGTTGTCACTACTATAACTAGATATTTTGGTGTACTAAATGCACATAATACCTATAGTTTGCAAGGTAGTTCCATCACCATTTGTCTTTTGCTAACAGAATATATAACCGTTTGATAAACTGCAATATAAGTTTCTCATTCAGAGATCACTGTGTCCCCATCCTCATGCTTCACTCCCTCCACTTTTTCCTCCCAACATCCCTCACCCTCTCCACTGGTTCCTTCCCACCCCCTCACCTTTACCTCCAACCCCACTCCCTTCTGCATCAACCCCTCCTCCCCAATCCCTTCCCCCCCTCCCCTCCTAACAGCAATGTTTGCCATGGAGATCAACGTGCAGCACGACCCGACGACCGGCGAGCAGCGCATCCTGTCGTCCAATCGCGTGAGCCCGCTGGATGCGGCGTCGCGCGGCGTCAAAGTCTACGACGACGGCAGGAAGGTGGTCTACGAGGTCACATCCTCCGGGGGCGTGTCCACCAGCAACATGATGGAGAACGGGTGGAGCTCCGCGCAGGTGGACCAGCTGATCCAGAGAGCAGCCAGGCCGGGGTCTCAAGGAGGCGAGGGCGACAGGGGCAAGGTGACGGTGACCCCCGCCGCCCCGCAGGCCTACATCTCCCCCGCAGATACTGACGACCTGTCTCCACCCTCCTGCGCTCCGCCCTCCGTTCCTTCGAGCCCGCCCGCCCAGGTGACCCTCCAGAGGGAGCCTCAGCTCGGCATGATGCCCCCTTCTGCTCCCATCACCACCCAGCCCGCCTCCTCCGCCCACCCCGGTGGTGAGTTCAGCTCGCTGCTCCAGGCCAGCACAGAGCACCCGATCACCATGGTGTTCCTCGGCTACCAGGACGTGGAGGACACAAGCGAGAGCAGGAGGCTGCTGGGATTCGACGGCACCGTGAAGGCCGAGGTGGTGCTCATCGACGAAGACGACGAGAAGTCTCTGCGGGAGAAGACGGTCACCGACATGTCCATCATCGACGGCACGGCGGCCGACCTGGTGTCGGGGCGGCCGGCCACGTCAGAGGGCGCCAGCACGGAACTGTCATCCGACGGCCATGACCCCGACAGCGCCTCCTCGCCCCCCGCCAACCCCGACGCCAACACGGCCCCCCTGCCAGGCCTCACCCCCGCCACAGGTACAGACAAGAGGAAACGCTGCGAGTGCTGCATCCTCATGTGACTGAATCTTCTCCCTCTTCCAACCCTTTTATTATTACCCACAACACCCCCTCTCTTCTCCTCTGTCTCTGGATGGTTACTAACAGAAGCCCCACCTTCTTCCTCCTCTTCCTCTGGACTCTGATCGGCTGGCACACACATGCACGCACATACGCTCTCGTCTGACCTTTGACTTTTTACTCAGTTACGTTATGACCTCTACATCTCTGCTCTTTCATTACCCTACTGTCTCCTCAGATGACTCAATTACAATTAAGCTGTTGTCACTTTTGTATATCACCGGTAAACAGACCTTCAAATTAGTTGTTGACAAACAGCTTAAACCAGGTAAAATTATATAACAACTCTCAGTGGACCATCACTCAGAATACAGCGGTGTCTAACAATCAACTAGGTCATCACCTCTAAATAAGCCAGTGTATAAAACATTGAAAAAGGTAGACACAGTCTCAGTAATATCCCACTCCCTTTTCTGTAAATTCTCCCCTGTTGTCTCCAAACACAACACACCCTCAAACAAAACCACCCCCCCACTCCCTTGTACTGTCTCTCTCTGACCCGGGGGAGGAGGGTACTTGTTGCCTTGGTTTCTTTACGTGCCTCTTCATTCTTCCTGACAAAAAAAAAATAGAGAAAATTTAAAGTTTTCTATTAGGTTTCATTTCGGTTTGCTGTTGCTATCTGATTTTTTTCTATTGTTTTGAAATGTAAAAGGCCATTGAATTGTTGGGACGCCTGTTTCCGTGGGAAACTGAAGTTTTTTGACATTGTAGTTAGCAGTAACAAGACTCTTTCTCTCTGTCGTTTTTTTATCCATTAACTCCAGCTATTCCACTGCTGAGGCCATTTCCTCCTATTCTAGCACTTCCTAACTCAGCAGCCAATAAGAAGCAGTGGAACACCTTTTGGCAGCCAGTAGGATCTATACAGCCAACGTTTACCAGTGTGTCTAAAGGCTACAGAGCACAGGAAACTAATGGCAGCTTAATGAGTACACTGGCAGCAAAGGAACATGTATTTCCGCCTATGAAAACAAACATGGATTACTACCACTAACAGTAGGGCACAAAGTTTGGAATAATAAATATTATTGAGCACTACCACAATACTCAATGACAGCCGTGCTCATGGGAATTATCGTGTTCATGTTCATCTTTTTGTCCAGAAGGCAAAGAGAGATCCATTGTAGTCTTACCAATTCAAAGACACGGAAAACACTGCCAGCTCATGCTGTAGTCACCGACCAGGCCCTCGTTTACAAGGCTGCTGCAAATAATGTGGCCTGGGTGTGGTAATAACATCAAATATATATATATATTACACTGTAGGTCATTTACTTGGCTGGTTTTCAGAAGAAGCCCTCAAAAGCGGTAATCATCCTCATTCTGTTGAATGATAATGGACGCTGTGTAAAAGATTTTGGTTTCATTTACAAGTGTCTTTGATGTTTTAGAGGATGGCAATGCTCAATAGGCATCTAAGGAATTGCTACACTTTGCCATTTTGCCCTACTGTAGAAATGGCTGTCTTTAGTGTGCGATCAATAAATGTATATGGGCCAGATATGTGATTGAAAAAGAAGCCTGCACATTTATAAAGACGTTAGAGGCTCTTTAGATCCAAACAATGTGATTTGGTGTTGTTTGTAAATCACAACAAAACCTTTTTATTCAGAGGGCAGAACTTCTCTTCTCTACGCAGCCAATGTGTTTGACTGCATTACTGGCCCTGGAAATACAGTAAAGAACACAACATCTCTCTATGCACTGTGTACTAACTCTACGGAGGCCCTGAGAGGCAAGTGAGAAAAAAATGCTAGTATGATCTAAAAAATGTTTTGTCCTTAGTTTGAATTGGGTTTTGCGAGGATTCTTTCCTTAACATTTTTTTCATCTGTGAAACGGGTGCATAATAAAAAATGATTCAAAAAAATGTAAAACTCTGATCGGAAAAAATATGTTCCCACCACTTTTGAAAAAACGTAATTACAAATATTATACTGACAAACCCTTTATTCACCTGTTCTATAATCATTAACACAGTAGAAACTTATTTATTAGATCAAACTTATGAAATAGATCCACAGAGTTATTTTACTCACTTGCATTTATTGGCTTCCGTATGACTCTGAAAGAAAATGAAAGCAAGAAACAATATTTCTTGGCAACAAATGGTACATGTCCAGCATTGAAAGGTCTCTGGGTGAATCAGTGGTATCTTCACATGGCTCTGTGCACAGCAAAACAGTCCCACCACTGAACTGTCAATGCAGAACTTGTATGCCGGCCTCCAAAACATACAAGCTTTAGTGTGATTGGCCACTGCTGCTGTCAGTCAGTCCAGCTGGCTGTGTGATTGGCCACCATGCAGGGCCCTCCGGGGTCTAGTTTCTTGTGTAGATAAAGAATGTAAATATGCTATATTCTATTTAGTGATTTTATTTTCCACATCTATATAGAGATCTAGAGATAAATACTGATTTATTATGGGTACTAGACATTGTTCTAATGTCCTACGATGCCATATGATGACTGTATGAGTGCACAAACACGAGCGTTGTATATTTTCATTCTTCTAACTTCACTGCTTTGCTGTGTGTGTATTCTCACAATTAACCCCCACACAACGTTTCCACCCTCATCTGACCACCACCGGCTTCTCTGAACTCTTGGCGGCTGCTACCATTTCCACAAGTGTTTTGGTTGGCCTCTAACGCATCTGAGGATCTTAATGCAGTGGTAGGATCTTAAATAACCACACCATTTGATTTGCATGGTAGCCTATTAACTACAAACCATTGAATTCACATTACTTCTGAACCTTTTCCAAAGCAAACCACACGTTTTTTACTGTTTACATTGTGGCAGCCATTGGTTTCCATTGATTTCCATTGATTAAGGTGAAGTTACTTAACTGGAATTGCTTGAGACAATTCATATTCACAAAGTTTTTAAATAGCAATGGTTAAAATTAATGGGAAAATTACAATTTCATCAACAAAAAAATGAAGCTAACAAATGTCGCCATATGGTTATTCTGAGCAGTTTGTCTCAGTTATTTTAACCTGATTAACTTTAGTAAGCTATTCTGTGTCCCACATTGGCCAAATAATATTCATTGCATGACTGTTTGGGTTTTAAAAGATTGAGGAGGCTATGCAGAGAAGCATTATTTTCCCCATGGTTTGACTTAAAGAAGCACTTACAGTCACGAAAAAGAAATCACAACCCCAAAAACACATTCAAAGGAAAAGAGAGTAAGGCTTAGTTCAAGTTAATGAAGCCAGTTAACCCGTGTTGGTGTGTGTGGGTGCGTGTTTTTTGGTGTAACGCGATGAGCTGTACGCGCACAACAGACTGGATGAGTTTACCAGCCCCACTGCCACTTCTGCAGTACTCCTCTGACTCTGTAGGGGTCTCTCTTTTTCTTGTTTGCCTGCCCTCACGGTTGTATGGACTGTTAAAACAAAAAGGAGCCATTTTCTATTGTTCAAACTTCTCTCTCTCTGACTCTCTCACGCTCTCTCTCTCTGATGTCTGTATCCTCTCTCTATCTTTGGTCAATAAAGCTGAGTTTCTCCAGTGCCCTCCTGCCGTCTCTTGCTTGTTGTTCTTTCCATCTGTCCCTAACATTCACTTTTTCATTGGCTGCTGACAAAGAGACCACAAGCTGTCCTTACTGCACCCCTATCTGTTATAATTCCCACTGCCACTAACAAGCAAACACACACATTCATGGTTTTTCTCCAGAATATTTTATAAAGGTCCCAAAAGACAAAGGTAAGGCTTTCAATAATAGTTTTTTAAGCAGCACCACCAACTCACTCTTACATTTTTTTTTTTTTTTGTGTTAATGCCCAAAACAATGAATACAACTTTTTAATGTCATTTACCAACTAGACCAAGACTAAAGCTCCATTCATAGTGAGTTCAGATGAGAGTTCAAATAATGCAATAAATAAGGAGGCCTAAAGAGTCAAATGAGAATACAAATCCTGGTGATCAAAGAGGTGACGGTAATGTAATTTGAATACACTGAATATACGTATCTGATGTTTAGGCTGCTTGGAGAAATGAGAACATCTGAAAGAAAACACAAAAGCTTTTTTTATACCAGTTCTCCCAAGGTACAAACAATGTCATGATTAGTCAACAAAAAAAATCTCACTTGCCTTTTAGGGCTTGAAAACCGGCTAAATAAAACATTAAAAGAATGCAGACAATTTCAAGACATTCCAGTTTAATTTGATGTAGCCTGATAAGAAACAACCATGAGATTGAATAGCTCTCTTTCAGTATGGCTAGCCACAGCTCAAGAGAAATGGCTCTAATATTACTGCAACATTCCTGATGGGAATCATACTGTGTCCATGACAGCTTATGAGTTTACACAAAAAATATGGAGTGGGCAGAAGCAAAGGGGGGTATTGACTTTTAGATAAGAGAAGAAAGGGAAGTGGTGCTATGGGAAAATACGGTTAGCTAAACTACATACATAGATAGCTGATCAGACTACATAAACCTCCATGCTTTAGTTTTGCAGGAGCCCTGAGGCACCCCCCTGGTATCAATAGTAGGTACTGCAAGAAGTAATCTCCCTGCATGCTCAATCATATTACTTTCCTGATAATTCCACTTCAGTGAAAAGGAAGAACAACATGGAAAAACACACGAAAGCACTAGATATGTTTTGCATGAGATTTTGAAAAGCGCACTGCATGATAAGAAGTATAGATACACTTTTAAAACATATGGTGTTTGTGTTTCATCTTTCCTGCTTATATCTTGGCCTGGGTGTTATTATTTAAAAGTCCACATGTTCTGGATAGGGCATCGACACAAATGTGACGCACACTTCCCCAGAAGACACAATACAAGGTGATAAATGATTATATTACAGACGTCATGACAACCGGCATCTGAAAACAGAACTAATACACACAGGACACACAGTGTTTTCCCTCACAGAGGATGGGTGTGTTTTCCGTGATAAAACGCAGTAATTGATTTATCTTAAGACAATGACAGCCTACAGTACTTATTACACCCTGTCACACACTCACACATGATAGGATGATAATAGACGTGTCAATGGTGGAAAACTTGTCCATGCCTCATAACATTGTGATGACCACATGTACTCAGCAGCACTGGTTAAACCCTGGTTTGTAACGTTGCACATGATTTTTGGGTCAAACTGTATCTTTAAAACAAAAGTATAGATGATTTAAAGCAACAATGAAATAATGCACACACTTTTTTGAGGCAGCAAATGAAGATGACACAAGATAATCTGAATGATTAAAATTTCATTTCCTGTTTCCACTGATGATGCTACTAATACTACTGCTTACACTACAGCATAACTTATACTAATACCATTGCCAAAACTCTAATTTCTATTCAAGTACTTCCCTTAAAGAGTACAAATAACACATGTATAGGCATTATAAATTAAGCTGCAAGGATAACTCTGCTTATGGTTAAAGTAAGTATTCATGCTAAAATGTCAGACATTTTGATTTTGAGACTCAATTATGAAGAATTCCTGCTTTTCTTTTTATTTATATCATATTAAACTAAATATATTTGGGGTATGGACTGACAAAACAAAATGTGATTAGGTGTTTTTATTATGATGTATGTAATTATTTAATACTATTACTTAAGCAGCATTTTAATGTTGAGTAGTTTTGTGTACATTGATTATATGTTTTGTATATAAAAAATTTATCTGCAAAGAACTGCTTAGCTACTCTAGCTGACAACTTCATCTAATGGAGTAAAAAGTAAGTATTTTCCTCTCATGTATAGTAAAGTAAAATGATAAAATAGCAGCAAATTAAAATCCTACACATGCATTAAATACTATAAGAGTACAGTATTGTATATAGTACAATATTGTATAGTATATTATATATTTGAGTATATATATACATATATATAAATATATAGTTACTTTCTATCACTGGCCCCACCGTTGCTACAAAGTACTCTGATTTAAATTGATATTTTCTTTAACAGTGTTATGAGGTTACTTTTGCAACAGGGGCACTGAAACAGCAAAGAGTCTTCAAATGAGAGAAAAATAATCAGAGTGCAGTGAAGAATTAGGATTTATTATCAGTGCTGTGTGCACAGTTGCTCTGGTTGCATTCAAAAATAATTCACACAGTTAAAAAGGAGCAGAGGATCCACCATAAAATAATGTGTTCATTGCATGCATCATAGCTGATAACTATACATTGTCAGAAGCATACTGCTTGCCTAAAAGATCGCCCACAGGTGCAAATACAATTATCCAAAAAAGATGACAATGGTGACAATAACTCTAATTTTGTCTATCATAGGCTACGGAAAAACATCAGGGGTTACCTTGACAACAGCAAATGGGAACCAAGCTGCCATTCCGACCATGCACCCTCACACCGCCATGGTGAGTAATTTGTATCTGTGTGAGTGTGTTTTTATCCCTATCAAAGGTCACAATTACATGAATAAGTGGCTCCACCGGGTCACTAACGGCCCTGAAACCTTTCATAATGTGAGGAGGGACTATTATTTTGTTTCTCCTTTACACAGGCTTCAAAGCAACAATTTTGAATATAAATGTTTGGGCTTTTTTTCTCCTATTCTTCTTATACCTCATGGGAATACACAAATGGAGTTCTGCTCACCTGGAAACATCTGTGCCATACAGGTTCTTTTACATTTTAGATCGAATATAGGCTGATTAATTTGAAATTCAAGCAAGACATGTTTAGGGAAAGTGGGCAGATCACGAAAACAAATCCCCAGAGAATTCTGAAAATCTCTGAAAATCCAGGGTTGATATCTTCTGCTATTTAGTTGACAACATCTAGTTCAAGACAAACATGACATCACCATTAATAAAAAACAAATTACACAATTCTCATATCTGAGGATAGATTACATAGCAGAATGTGCTGTTAATGTGATTGCATATGACTAACCATTGGGTTTTGTCCCTGTAGATTGCGCTCTCTTGCACAAAGTACTGTACTGTACGTGCTTCCAGATATTGTTTGTGCTGAACCTCACATCTGCTATTGGGCGGCATGTTTGGAATGCCTTTCAGTCACATTGTCTCCTTTCTACAGGTGCAGAGTTGTTCTGCAGTGGGATACGTCCCACTACAGTGTCTCTATCAAATGTTTAAAACTATCCATTAAATATTTACGGCAGTACATTTAATATGATTTTACTGAACTTTGTGGCATCTCTCATCTCTAATGGGAACTTATGATTCTGGCGTACTGCATGTTGCATTTAAAGTGACTTACTGTACTTACTGTACATTTTTATCTACTATGGTATTACTTTTAATATGATACTGTATTATTAAAGAGAGTTAAATATGCTCATAAAGGGTGGTGTATTTTGAATTGATAATGAGAATAGTAACACTTATAAACCATATTCTGTCTTTGTGTTGTATGTATTACTTCAGGAGCAGTAACAATACTCTAATATAAAATAAGAAAACTAAAAAGACACTCCATTGCCAGAGTTTGTTAGTATCAAAAGCAAAGTATATTACTAATTGTGCAGAATGGCTGTTTAAGTGTTACTATTCTATTACTGTTGCAAATCATAATAACTAATTCAAGAAGCATTACACTTCTTATTAAATGATAGTGTTTTGTTTAAATGTAGTAAATGTAGCGGGCTAAATGGAACAACATTTTCCTTAAAGGGGTACTTCAGCAATTTAGTATTACACCTCTATAAAACTGGGGGCCTTATTAGACAGATTGAAAATAGAATTGTCAAATTGTGTGCAGCAGAGGCAGAAATATTGTCAATTGTAGCTCCAGTATCAGTTCCACACCTGAAAAACACTGGATCCTACACTTCCCAAGATGCAAGTTGTGGAGTACTTTAATGCAATGGAGCAGCATGAGGTGATATCATAAACATACTTGTATCCATGTTATCTTAAAGAGTACTTATGTGCAGTTCAGGAGTACATTGAGCTAGCTTACACCACCAATGCCTGTTCTGTAGAGTTCTGAGTATGTTTTTGTTTTTCTGAAAATGCCACCTGAACACATTTATCTGAGGGGAGGCAGAGCTGGAAGTGGGGGGAGACAGGCACAGAGAGGTGGGGAGACAGAGAGGTGGGGTACAGAAATTTGGGGGGTGCTGGCTGGGCTGCAGTCAGATTGTTGTGCCGCTGAATAAATGAATGAAAGGCAGCACGGCGGTAACCTGATCTGTCCGGGTCGGTCTCATTGTGCTTGGCTCGAGCTCGCGCTGGTGGCTCGCTCTCTGATTGTCTCTGGAACGGGACAGAAAACACTCCTGGGACCTCGCAAGCGCTGCATTATTCAGAGCGCGTGCCTAAAAAAAAAAAGAGAGAGAGAGGAAGAGAGAAGAGTAGAGGGAGAAGGGAACCACTGGTTGGAAAAGCTGGCGCGTAAAAAGAGCTCAATGTCATCCCAGTCGCAGTTTGCAGTTACCGTTATTACGTGCAGTTGAGAGCTCGCGACTATCCGTTTTTACACTTCTCCTGTCCGCGTGTTCCGCTACCGTCTTCCCAGGGTGAACGCTGAAGAAGTAGACCGAAGAAGAAGCAGCGGTCAGCAGGTCGGTTACGCCTCCACCGTTAAAACCTAATCCCGGTTATTAGCAGTTTGAGTCTGTTGCAAGGAGCTCCAGGATATCAACGCTTCGCTCACATCACAGGTAGATGGAATTAACACAGAAGTAATGCTGAAAACATGACTAAAATGTGTTTTAACTTAAGTTTCGGTTGCACAGAAAACTCATATTCAATGGAGTATCTTATGAGTGGGTCTATGAGCTTTGTTTTGCATGCTGGTGGTGTCATGGGTTAGATTATGCATGTGTTTCTATATAAGTGAACGTGTCCTGGTTAACAGAGAAGGAGCCTGTAATTACTCTGATTGGCTTTAAAGTGGCGAGGACAAAGGATACTGCACCCTGCTCTCCTAAGAAACACTCAAAGGAGGTTAGTGGACCAGACTGCAGTGGTCTCTAGTTCTCTCTGTGGGCTCCTCCCCCTCCTCTGCATCACTTTAACCTAGTTATAGGAATGACCTTAACCTGCTTTTCTCCATCCTCATGCTGAATGACTTGGCAGAGACATAGAGGCAAGCATATTGGTGCTGCTACTTGTTATGCTCCTCACCAAACTCCATTATAACGTTGCTCTTTTGTTGAGCACTCGCATTGATTTTGTCCGCTTTAGTTACCCATCATTTCTCATCATGAAGGCTCATTATGCAGTGTTCATTTTAGAATGCAAGCATTCCCTTGGTCTTGTTTTTTTACAACCACAACACAGAGCCAAGTGGCAAGGCTCACAATTTCAGCCTTCAAATAACTCATGTTTGTAGGCATTTTGAATATAACATTAATGTGTTAACGTTGAGGCAGCCACGAGTGCTTGTATGCCCCAGAGTTGCTGTTATAAACCCAAAAGAGACATCTGGCGCATGTTCAGCGGAATCCACCTGGAACCAGACTTTGTTGTTCCAGATTTGCTTGACAAGTTTTTAGCTTTTTTTCTTTTCCTGCAGCTGTTGCCAAGCAACTTGCTATTCTTTGATTGCAGACTTTGACAATATTTAATGAGGGATGGACATTGTCATGTAGGATGTAATTGGCTAATGTGGGTGTGGTTGTTTTTTCTCCCTTTTGGTGCTCGACCAGAGGCTTCCATATCTTCACCAGGGATTACATTTAATCATTTTGTCAAGAGGTGGAAATAACTTCCCTTGTCCCTGTTTTAACATAATGTCCAATCATGCTCATTGATTCTACTTCACTGAAAATGTTGTGACATTTTGACTGAGGGCAGGTGACTACTACAATATGAAATGGGTGATGTATGCTCAAGAAATCAGGCATCTCTCTTTGAAACATTCTTACAGTCGTAAGATGTGTGTTAGATCAACCTTTTAGGTCTATTTTTCAAGCATCCCCACAATTGTATCTATAAATAATCCACTGAAGTGATTCTCATCGGATTTGATTGGAGGGTTTAGTCTGTTTTTGTTGTCCACACTGTATTGAAAATAGCTCATCATCCATACTGTTTGGTCATCATTTGAATTTACTAGCTGATTCTGGAAATACACAGCAGAGCAGCAAACTGCCAATTCATTCAAATCTTTGCCAATGCCTCTGCTGGGCCAAGGGAAAGAACAAAAACTGCCAGCTCTCTAATTAGATAGCGCAGTCAATGATAAGAAGTGCCACGTTCTGAATGTCCCATTGACACTGTGTGTGTGTGTGTGTGTTTGTGTGTGTGTGTGTGTGTGTGTGTGTGTGTGTGTGTGTGTGTGTGTGTGTGTGTGTGTGTGTGTGTGTGTGTGTGTGTGTGTGTGTGTGTGTGTGTGTGTTCTGTCTTCATCCTCCGAACCCCTCCCTTTTCCTAGAAAACACACACACACACACATAATCACAGGTCGCATAACAGCCTTGTGTGGTAGATGATGCTAAAGCTTGGTCAGCCAGGAGTACACAGGAGATGGAAATGGGAATGAGGTACTGAACAATGAGTGCAAGGAGAGATAAAGGGCGGTGCAGGTGTGTGTGTGTGTCGGGGTGGGGGTGGTGAGTGTAAGGCAAGGGAGGGAAAACGTGAGGAAGGGAGGTGGAGAAGGGTGCTGCCAGGAGGAAGTCTGTTCAGCATCACACGGCTCCAAGTGTTGTTGACATTAACTAGCCGATGGCCTCTCAATGGCCGATCTGTTGATGGGCCTCCACTGGCTGACTTCCAGGAAGAGAGTGATACACCGCCTTTTGTTATTGGATGAAGTCCCAAACGTTACAGTTAAATCAGCGCTGTTCACATGGACTCAGTGTCGTTGATGTGGTTGGAGTCTGAGCACACAATGTGGACATGCTGTGTCCTCCCTCAGTTCACATCTAATGAGTGTGTTGTCAGCTGACAATGAGAGGACAACAGGACAGAAAAGAAGAAGGAAAAGAGTCTGGTGTGTTTGTCATTGGGAATCATGTGAGGGGCCCTTGGGCCAGCTATTAGACTGAGCCTTGAAAAAGGTTTTTCCCAGCATTTAAACAAAGCCGCCTCATGTTTTTGCATGTCTGTAGCTGGGATTGTAAGTAGTTCCTTGAGCTGTGAATGGCACTCAGTGGCTATTTTAGTGTGTCCCACAGGGAATGGATGACAGCTTAAAGTGATCATGGGAGGAACAGAAGTGTCTGTGTGTCTACTTAAGTGCTTCTGGTTTATTTGTTCTCATATCTTCTTTGATCATTTTGCAAAAGAAAATAAGAGGAGGGATGCATGTTCAAAGAAATAAAAGAAGTTTTTAAAAGTTTCAAAGATTATTTTATAGTAGTCTTAGGCTGTTTAAAAGTTTGGATTTATAAAATGAAACGATTTCTCATGCCATATGAAAAGGAAACAACGATGGAGTC